TATATAAATATATATATAACAATAATTATATATATATATATAAATATATATATATATTTAATCAGTATCAGTCTACGTGTAATTTGATATTAATATATATATAATTATATATATATATATATATATTAATAGTAAAATACACCTATACAGTGTATGTATATGTGTATATATATATACTTAGATCATATATATATATATGATATATATGATCTAAGTATATATTATTTTTTTTTACACTTTTAACATTTATTTATTTTATTTTCAGCCAGCAGGGGGACCACGTGTCATTACAGGCAGCCCCCCTGCTGGCAATGCAGGAGGCAGCTATCCCGGCCATGTGATTGTGAGGTCCTCGCAAGGACCTCACTCTCACATGGCTGGGGGGCACCGGAGGAGGAGGATCTGCCGTGGGACCGCCGGCGACCGGGTAAGTAAGGAAAGACTGGAGGGCGTACTATTACGCCCGGTGGCGTTTAGAGCCGCCTAAAATAGGGCGTAATAGTACACCCTCCGGTCTTAAGGGGTTAATATTGTAATATTTGATTTATTTTTTATGTGATATATTTTTTGATATTTTAATACTTTGGAAAAAAAATCATTTGAAAAGTTTATCCCAAAAAAATATGAATTCATTTGAAAAACGTATCTAATTTTTTTTTTTTTTAAGTCAAGGTCTTAGTCAAAAAAGAATGACAAATTGCTGTTCAGAATGTCAGAATGCCCGAACAGCTCAATGACCATATGTTGTTTGAATGCCATCTAGTAATTTATTATTAAGTCATGTGATGGCAATGGGAGAAACAGCAATTTAAGTATGCAGTGAAACTCCTTACAACAGTGGCAGCAGCTCTACACAGCGGGAATCCTTCCCCTCAACTGGCATCTGTGATCCAGAAAGGCAGAGGCAGACACAGTGGAGCAGCAAATGTTTTGTGGTGGCTAGACAGCTTAGGCCACGACTCTAATCAGAACAATGGCAGGTGCAACCTGTGGACCACATCATCATCCTGGAGTAGCACATCTGAAACAGTTGAAGCATACCTTTCAAAACCTACTTTCTCCTATTACAGAGTCTTTTACTTACTGTGAACAAAAGATTCAGGTGTTGCCAGGCCTTAAAAGGACATTATAGTCACCAGAACAACTACAGCTTAATGTAGTTGTTCTGGTGAGTATAATAGTTCCATTCAGGCTTTTTTCACGCAAACACAGCCTTTTCAGAGAAAAGGCAGTGTTTACATTGCCTCTAGGGACATCTCCAAGTGGCCACTCCTTAGATGGCCACTGGAGGTGCTTCCTGGGACTGTTCTGCCAAAAAAGCAGCCCTGATGTTCAGCGTCCACACGCTCTGCATGGAGACGCTGAATTTTCCTCATAGACTATGACGAGGTCCTGATTGGCCAAAATGGCATTGGGCCCTGCCCCGTGCCGATTTTAAGCATTGGATTGGCTAAAAATCTGCCATTTTGTTGATGTCACAAAGGGGCTGGAGCCAACGCCCGGCGGAGCCAGGACCCAGCAGACCTGCACGGCGCTTGTAAATAAAGTGAGTTTTAAACTTTTATAGGGGGGCTAACGGGAAGAGCCGCCTAAATGGTGGGTTAAACACTATAAGGTCAGGAATACATGTTTGTGTTCCTGACCCTATAGTGTTCCTTGAAGGTGTTTTTTTCAAACACCAGAAGTCACATATCTCACCAGACTTAGTTGAGAAAAAAATTATTTTTAAAATTCAACATACCCAAGCTTGGCTACCCATCTCTATTTGTTAATGGAAATGCTGATGTATTGTAGAGGAGCAATTAGCACACAGCTTTTATTATTTTTGTCTTAGGGGTGTGATGACACTTTTTATTTAGGCTCATATTCAACAGCCTGCTGCTACCATTCTGAATTAAAACTCTTTATGTGTTGCTTGGAGTAGGGAAGGGCTGTTATGCTGCACCATGTAAAGCTGTGTTTTGTTACCATTGTTGCAGGGACCTAACAAAAAGTGACTCCTCTTTCTGCCAGTCTAACACCCATCTCCTTGGGCTCAAGTCCATAGACTGCTGTTTCTGTTTTGGGTAAATATTATCCCCCTTTAGGGGTTAGTTTTGGTTGGAATAGAATAGGGCCACAATGCTTAGCCAGTAATATCGTTGCAGGGAACAAATAAAAAGTGACGCCCCTTTCTTCCAATTTGCCACCTCTCTCTATGGGCTTGTGTCAAAAGACGACGACTGCTGCTGCTGCTGCTGCTGCTGCTGCTGTGAGAAAACTGCTCCCCTGTAGGGTTGTTGTGGGTAGGATACAGCTGCAGTGCTTTGCCCTGTGAAGCATTGTAGTTTATGTTTTAGGAACCCAATGTAAAAATAACTGCCAGACCATCTGATATTGCTACCTCTTCTCTGGGCTCATGTCCATAGACTGTTGCTACTGTCCTGACTCTGAGTTACCCCCTGTAATGTCCATCTGATTCCTCTGTACTTAGGCAGGCTGGCTTCTAAAGGTTCCTGCTACTGCTGTCCTGAATTAAAAATGAAATTGTCCCTCTTCAAATGCTGTTGGGAGTTGGGTAAGATTGCATCGCTTTGACTTGTAAAGCAATGTAGTTTTTCATTAACTTTGTTGCAGGTAACTGATATATAAAGTGACTGCCAAGCCATCTGTTGTGCCAACTCTGTCCCTAGCCTCATGTTCAGTTCTTATATTAATCTGACTGTGAGTGTGTATGCTGTGCAAAGAGTGCATGCAGTTTTGATGCATGCATGCATATGCAAATGGAATAGCTATTAATTAGAAATTAATGACTGACCGAAATTATTTGGTTTAAATAAACCGAAAAAAATAATGTATTTGACCAAAAAACACCAAAGAATTTTGTAGTGCACGTCTAATATATATATATTAGATAGGTAGATATAGATATGTATGATTTTATATGCAATTTGTATTTTCTAGGTTGTAACCTATACATTTTAGTTATGTATTGTATTCCAAAAATTTAAATATAACCCATAGAATGTGTGTTTTTTGTGTTCTTGAAAACAATGTGCATGTATTTAATTTTATAGCTAAATTAATAAATAGCATCTTATTTAATAACACATCCTTGCTTTAAGGTCAATGAAAAAAATTCAGCTGTGTTAACATAGTTAAAGACCTTAATGGACAATCAATTCACTTGTTTGCACATTATTCAAATTTAAAAAAAAAACAGTTTACAGGGGTTTGGGGTATTGCAATCCGCATATCCCCAAACAAATCTGGATTGTTTTGCCACATTCAGACTTTAGGCAATATTTCAATGCTCATTTATGTTTATCTTACTGGTAACAGAACATTGAATTGATACATGATTCATTTTTTCATTTCTTTCTCAATATAGTTGTATTTTTTTCTACAAAAGAGTTAAAAATGCCCTCTTTAAGTACCTACGTGGATGAATGGATTAAGATATTTCAATTTTTGTTTATAAGTATAGAACGGCTGCTATAAAATACACAAAAAAAACTATGTAAGTTAAAAAAAAAGCAAATGCAACTCTCAGATAATACAAAGAAAAAACAAAAGGAAGAATTGTGTGTAAAATCACCAAAAGTGATAGTAAATGGTACAACCTGTATAGTAATCAGTATAATCTACCATAAGCACGGTATATCTGGTGGAATAAAACACAAATATAGTGCAATACAGTAAGCACAAGCGAGGGGTGTGTGGTGGTAGAAAACTAACTAGAAATTAGTAGATTCAGGCATGTCTCCCTCAATATTAGGGCAATTATATGATTGTAGAAAATCTTCCAGCCATAGAACTCCTGATATAGGGGTATCTTCTTGAATAGCTCAAAATATAAGGAGAGAAGAGAGATCGTGCAGACTGTATAAAAGTATAACAAATGTATTTTACAAGTTGGTGGCGTGCGCTCCACTGTGGAACGCATTCAGCGCTTCCGGGTGCATACGTCACTTCCGGTTGATGATCATCTCGGCTAGCAATGAAATATATGTATATACAAGAAATAACATAGCAATAAACAGGCTACATGGGAAATTGAGTCTTATCAAAGAAAAAGACTCATAATTAACAAAAGCATGATGGACCATAATACATTTGTACATAATAGCATATTTAAGGCAAAACATGTTAGCTATAAGTATTATTAGAGAAATATACATAAGTAAATGTATAATATTAAACATCTCTTTGCAATGAAATAATTTCACTTTTTCTTTATTACTTGTTTAGTATAAACACTTTAAAAATTAATGGATGTAGGATGTAGATGGTTATTATATTACTGCATATATATATATATATATATGTCCTAGAGCAGTATCATATTCATTTAGAGAAGGATATATCTGTTATAAACCCCAAAAAGGGGGGAAAAGGACCATATGTATATATAGAAAGTATGTTAATATGGAAATTACGTAATGGAAATGAAAAAAGATATATTAATAATAATAAAAAGTAATAACATAAAAAAACGGATAAAGATGAAAAATGAAAATAAAAATGAATAAAAATAAAAATATAAATGAAAAGAAAATGAAAATAATAAAAAATGGAAAATGAAAATAATTGTAAAGATGAAAATAAAAACTAAAAATAAAAATAAAATAAAAATAATTCAAAATAAAATTAAATTAAAATTACAAAATATAATAATATAATAATATAATACAAAAAATAAAAAATGAATAGGAAAAATCTATTCTTTAACCATAGGTCACAACTGTCATATTAAGCCTTTTACAGAATATATAGACATACATGAGTATCAAAAATTAATGTACATTAGAAGCCCATATTTTATATAAAGGACTAAAAAATGTATATACAACATCAGGTTCAATATCAGTGTAGTTGGTGTATCTGTAACTAGGAAAAAAGTATTAGTGTAGTCCAATTATACATAAAAAACATAAAAGGAAGTATATATTCCAAAATTGTATGTACAGATAGAAATAGAAGGATATATTAAAAAATGAGTAGTAATCATCCCAAAGTCCGAAAGAGACCAGATACCAATATTAACCAGAAAAAAATAAGACAAATAATGAAGTCAAATAAGTCCTGCTAAATCTATTTCTTGATTGAGACTATTTATTAAAGTTTTTACATTGAAAATCCATTGGGCTTCTTTGGTGTTAAGTAGAGTTTCAATATTACCCCCTTTCCAATGTATTTCCACCTTGTCTATTCCGAAAGCTAAAAATTGTGTGATTATCGCCGAAGTGTGAGTGTTTTAATTATTGATAATTACCCAAGTTCGATAGCAATATTCCAAGATTGCAAGATTAAACAAAGTCATTAAATCTGCTTTAAAGTCAGTAACAATATTTAACTTTGGTTGTGTTACCAACAGAAAACAGTTGTGACATATTTGAATTGTGTTAAAAACACTCACACAACATTGATTTTATGGTATTGTGTGAGTTCAGAAAATGCTGTCAATCGAATACTGACAATGGATTGTGATCAACAGCAAAGTTATTTAAAAAAAAAAAAAATATATATATATATATATAAAATCTACTGAGTACATTGGTGTATATAAGCATTATATCTTCATTAGTAATTTAACAATAAATATTTTTATAAAGCTTTATTTTGTAGTATATGTCAGAGTGCGTTGGCCTTCTATAAATATCTTTAGTCATTTCAGTGAAATAGTCTTAATATATAGTTCATTAAGTGATGTTTTCCCTCCTTTTTATGTTTTTTTTTTTAAATTTAAAAGCATCAGTCTACAATTAACACTTATCTAATACCTTGTGATACAAGAACTGTTATCTGAGAATTAAAAGATAAAATCCAATGACTTTTAGAAGGTGATAATTCATTGTCATTAGCACATCCAGTTATATTTTTATTGCTTAAAACTCGTTTTTCCTTGAATGTGTTTTGCTTTATGACTGCATTTCTTCTGTCTTTAAAAATAAAAAGAGGTAATTCTCATAGCAATTAAAAATGTCTACATTGTTTATGAGATATACATAGATACATATGTATCATATTTAAGACCTTTCATTTATTTAACATGAGCAAAAAATATATCAGTTGTTGATAAGAAGCATTTTACTCAACTGGTCCTTTTCTACCTTAAAATCCTCACTGCATATTTGTTATATTGTAGTCTATTAATAAAAATCTCCATATTTGGAAAATGGCAAAAGACAAAATTTAGAACAGGAAAGACAAATTTGAAAGAAAAAAATGATACAATACATATAGTAGCTTTCACCTGAACATGTCCAAAAGATTTTTTTTTTAATGTTATAGCTTATGAGTTTGTTTTATTCAGATATATATTGTCATGATAAAATTGCATAATGGACTGAAAGGTCCATATTTTGTAGGTACCCATGTATTTGATTTGTACACTACAAGACCCATGCGTGTATTTTTTCTTCAATATAAAATATCACATTTCAGTTTTGAAGTTAAAACAACATGCAATATGTCTTCTGATGTACAGCTAGACATTGCTTTAAGATACATGTTGTTTTGGTTTTTTTGGGTGGGGGGTCAACAGCAAAATCAACAGTGATATGTGCAATGTTAAACTATACTTATGTGTAGTGATTTTCATGATTTATTTAAGTCATAAATAATGCATTATAATGCTAACACTTAGAGACCACTAGTGGCAGTATTTTAGGGTTCCTTCCACCAAATGTTCTCATTATACCATATGCTTCTGGCAGTAACATCTTAGACCAGTCTACACTAGGCAAATAACCTCTCGTAGTGAATACCACTGGAAATAAATAGGAAAGTTAAGAGACAGTCAACCTTTTTTCTAGGATGTATCAAATAACATTAGCTATCTCTTTAGCCCCAGCCTTGGACTGAGAGGGGGCAGGGGCACTCTGTAAATTATTCATTTCTGTAATTGTTTAAATTGTTGCTACTTACTGTATTTTGTGTATTTTCTATCCACATATGTAACCATAATACCAAGAAATATACAAATATTAATGTCATAACTGACTTCCTTAATTATTGTATAATAATTAGCAGCTTAATATTCATATTTAAGCCTCAGCTTAAACCCCCACTTATGATAAGTCTTTTTTTTTCCTAATTCACATGACACCAGCATGCCAGTGTTTAATTGCAATCTGAAGAATTTTGCAATCTACATTAAACAGGTAAGATGTGCATGCTATTTTGTGGTTTACTGAGTTTATTGAGTAGGTTCACTCATCCTATGTGATGATTTTAACTGTTCTTTTGAAATAAATCTCATAATCTAATGATGTAGATCTGAACAAGACATTCCGGATTTCATCCCTTGTCTCATCCCAGTGTGACAGGTGATTACCTACATCTGCAGGTGAACTTACTAAATAGCACACTGTAACATCTTTATTTCATTTTTTGCTGAGCTTAGTTGCAAGTAATACCTACATAATGTATTAAAATATTGGGTCAGATTTGTCCTAGACTAATCCTTTGAGAGTAGGTAACAAATTATAATGTTGATAATTTGGATTCCTCACAAAAAAAAGGTTAACAACCACTGTGCTAGAATAAGAGACATTCGTTGAAAAAGCCATTTTAAAGGAAAATTGAAGAGCAGATATTTCTCAGTTTTGTTTCCAGGGTAAAGATAAAAAGCTGTTAATAAATTGCAATAATCTTATTTGCAGGTGAACAATACATTCTTTATCAGCAAAATAAACATAGCAGAAAGGGAAAATGAAAACATTTAAATAATACAGCTGATTTTCTGTTCTGATATGTGATTTGATTACAGTAATTACACCAAAATAAAACTGGGAGTAATTATAGAATTGTGTGGGAAAGAAATAGCACAATCTGTTATTTTTTTTTTAAATGTTATTAATTATTTTTTTTTTTTTTTAAAACAGCCAAATGGTAACTACATTTTCTAACATAGATCTATGATTATAACTGTGATGTAAGAAACATGTCAAAGGTCAAATCCATATACCAGAAAACCAGTGGATATAAAGAACATTCTCTGTTATTAATGGGATAGATTTTTCATTTTAAAACAGCAATAATATTCCTCAGTGTTTATGGGTAATAGATATCATATTGAGACAGCAAAATATAGTAATGACAAAGGTTCACCTCGGTATGGAGATGATGAATGTTGTACTAGTATGGTATAAATTCACCTTTTCCTTAACGCCAAAGTGTTTTGTGATTACTGGCTACCTTCTCAAGATAACAAAAGAAAATAGAATGCCATAATCATATTGATGACCTGGACTTTTTCATTTCTTAATCATTGAAATATAGAAAAACCCTTTATTAAGATCTTCACAACTGTGAGATTTGTGTTTTTAAAAAAAAATAATAATAAATCTGTTTTCAGCATAGGATGAATAACTCATTTTTAATGTATATATATAATCATGTTCTTGGATGCCTAAATACATTATGTATTTAAAAAAATTATTAATTCATATATAAGTTAATGCTTGGTGATACAAACAGATATTATACTGTTGCATACAGTAGATTAGCATATAATCAGTTTACACAATGTCCTCCATTCCCCTTTACTCTGACTGCTAGAATTTAGCTTGGTATGCGATGAGCTTCTTGGGTTCTCTCTCTGCAATGTGTAGAGTCCGTAGATTTGGCAGTGAGATATTTTTGTGAGTGAGGTACATTGCGCAATTGGTGTACACTTTTCATTGCTTTCACATTGTTTAATAAATTCTATAAAATAGACAAAAAACAACATATAATAATAATTTATTTCTGCCAGCAGCAAATACAATTTTACACCTTTATCTTGGCATTGTCTTAGATATTTAAGCATCCTGAGCTTTTAGGTGTTACGAAAACAGCATTTTAACAGACTTTATTTTATGCTGCTGCTCCACTCTGCAAAGCCCTTTACCATTTCCTTATACTAAAAATGCTGTTTAAACTTACTGCTGTGCTTTTAAAGGTCACCATAATTCTGATTCCACTTTATTATCTAAGCTCAGTCAATGCAATATTGTCATCCCTGGAATTACTACAGGTTTACAGTTGTTATGTGGCCATATAGCATTAAATTGTTTGATGATCCATTTAAGGGTGATGAAACGTTTTCAACTATATGCTATATAATTTATAATGTAGTGAGTTGCATCTTTACAGTTTGGTAGTAGATCAACCTTTCATGGTTATCTTTAATTCTAATGTGACCTCCTAACCTTTTGCCATGCAATTGTGAGGGCTGTTGAGAAAAAGTCTCTGAGACACAAAGAGAAGTCACTGCCAATCTAGTTACCAGGAAAGCAGAAATCCTCCTGTGGCAAAAAATACATCATACCTTTCTTGGTTGGTTAAATTGGTGTAAAAGTGTTAAATGCTATTTATTTTAATATGAATTAGGAATGGCAAAAGGAAAAAACATGAGTATAAATGCGGGTATAAATATAATGGTAAAATGATAGAGTAGTGAAGAATCTTAGCACCTCCAAGAATTGGGGTAGAGCATGGGAATTAGACTAGAAAGAACTGTGATAAATATTTATTGTGCCTCCTGCATGGATTTACCCAACCTCTATTTTCTAGGCTAAAACAACCTTCTTCTCCTCTACTAAATCTCTCTGCTCTGCATAAATCTGTATGCATTCACATTCTACCTTGTGCCTCTAAACATTATCCAATTGGGTTGACTGTAGTGGCTATTTAAGAAGTCTATAATTATACAAGTGAGTGGTATAACTGGACTGCATCTTTAGGCCCACTCACCTGTTGTCCGAGTTCATACCCCCCAGTGTTTGGAGGCACTGTCTATTAACTATATCCATAATGTTCACAAACTACCTGTAACCACAGCATTCAAACACTGCACATTACCTATACTGCATACATAATTAATTCCAAGAGCTACTGCATCGAAAAATCAATGTCTGATTATTAGAGTTCCACGGCAATAATACACACATTAATTAACCCCTTAGTGACTGCGGATGTACAGGGTATGTCAGCCAAAAAACGGTTGTTAACGACCACTGACGTAACCCTGTACGTCCAAGGCCAAAATGAGCACTGGAAGCGATCGTGATTGCTTCCAGCCGCTCTAAGGGTATTCCATAGTGCCTCAATATCGATGCATCATGGAATACCTCCCCTCACTGCTGGACACCCGAGTGATCGCTCCACCCAGAGCGATCACTTCTGGGTTTCTGCAAGTGGGTGTGGCAGTGTAGTGCAGAGCATCAAAAGCCTTCAGGCAGGCTTCTGATGCTCTGCCTGTACTGAGTGCCTTGAGGGGTCAAGGCACCCAGTAAATGTTAAAAAAATAAAAGTAAAAAAAAAAAAAATGAATTAAAAAAAAAAAACCCTACCCACCTTCCCTCTTCATGTACTTAACGATCGCCGCCGATTGGTCTTCTTCTGAGAGGAACTGTCTGGGCTAAAAGAGCGGTCAAATGGCCACAATAGGTGTCCACAGTGCTGCCAGCAGGGGTGCTGCCTGAACTGACAGGCTGGTGAAAAAGGGTTTTTTTTTAAATAAATTAACAAATCTATATATGTATAAATTTCAATCTGCAAACATGGAAAAGGGGAAAGCCCTACATTTGACATCAATGATAGCTTGCATCTCTCAATCTAACTCAAAAATTAGAAATTCAGAATGGAAGATATTGTATCTGAATCCAGAAATGCTATTTCTTTACATTACAGGGATATAGGCTATAGCTTTCTCACCAGTCAAGGGTAATTAAAAGTCTAGTCAGCCCCTGAGAGTAAAAAAATAAATCTATTATAGTGAATCATTCTGCATCCTTAAGTTGCGAACCCAGATATATAGACCAGATTATGAACCCAGGAACCAAATGATAGAGATATATTCTCTACCCTTACTACTTTATTTTTTTCATTTTCTTCTCTTTGACTCTGCCATAATAATGTTACACTTCATATGTGATAACATCTGAAAACCAAAGCTGATCAGTGATTAAGTTATTTTATATTAATAGATTATGGCATATTGGAATCTATAATATACAACCCTTGGATTTATTCACATGGTAATGGAATAAGCATTTTTCTATTTTTGCACAATCATCAGGATGTGTTTCTCAAAGTCGACTTCAACCTTAATATTGGTGGAAGAAAATTATACGTGGGTAAAATATTCAAGTAACATTCTTTCGGGAAAAACATTAAGCTCCACAAAAGATCTAAAATACATTTTTTTTAGAATTTTTTATAAAGTTAGCAATTTGTTTTGCCGCAATTATGTTTTTTTCATTGACGAAATTCAGCCAAGCCAAAATTATTGCTAAAATTAGACCGTCCCACATTTGTTTGATGAAGCAGTTTGGCCAAAACACTTTTTTCACTGTGTACATCATTCATATGTTAAAGTTGTTTATTCAGAGATTCCATTTGATCAGGACTGAGGCAGTTTGAAACCTTTACTACGTTTTCATTTCACTCAATAATTGGACCTATACATATTACATTTAAAAAAAATGATAATTTATATATACATTGTTTTATTGAGACCAAATAAATAGTACAAAACTTTAAAACAATATAGATACATACTTAAATAGCAAATTACATTTCTAAACAAAATAACAGCATACAAGAGCAGAACATTTGGCATACAAGTATTCTGTGGAAAGTGCAGTTAATCAGTATACAGTACTGTCCAAAAGTCTTAGGCCACTATTATATTTGTTGTTTTCGCAATGGTTTAATGACCACATATAATTCTTTCTCAGTGTCTTTTTTAGAATACAACCAGAAAATGCAGGAAACTTGTATGTTGTGTGTATGCCACTCTCAAATGGAAATCAGAAATACACTGGAAACTCAAGATGTGGAGCTTTCTAGGACTGGGAGACCAAGAAAACTTTCCAAATCTGATGAGAAGTGAGAAGAGTTTGTTCTTTGAGAGACCTGAATAAGTCCAGCAAGGACCTGACTCAGCATCTGGCAGCTTCATTGAGGTGCCAAGTGAACTATTCTATAGTCTGAAGATGCTTGATCGGGAATGGTCTTTGTGTAAAGGTATACATTCCAAACTTTATATATCATAGCCTTTTCACCCTGTTCCCCTTCTAAAAAAGTGGTTTTTTGGCTGCTATCCCTCCTCAAAGACCATTCTTGATGGTCAAGTATAAATTTGTAAAAATTAGATCCCCCCTCCCCACCCAAGGTTTTTCATTTTGACACTTTTTTTTTTATCACCAACTTTTGCTGAAACTGTTAGTTATATTTATATTTCTTGGTGTTTTTCATTAATGTATTTCATATTTCTGTAATGGCACATACAGTCTCATTACTCTATACCCCATATTGTAAACCATATATTTGTATTCTGTTACTGAACTTGAATACAGCAATAACCCCCTATAGACCTTTGCCAGATGCCTTAAAGTTATAGTTTAAAATTTCAGTAATGCATATTTCCCTCTGCCTTGGACTTTGTTGTGTGTGAGGCAATCAAGCAACAGCCCAATGTTCTGACTATTATTTCTGAGAAGGGATAAACAATTTAAAAATTTTAAGTAAAATGTTTTGTTTTTTTATTGGGTGGGGAATGGGGTTAATTTTGAAACCCTGCATAAAGGATTGAATAAGATTTTATGTTTCAGTACTTTCAGTTTAATTTGATGTAATACATTCTATATTTGATAATAACATTTATTGTCTCCTTTAGATACAAGGAACTGCATGTGTTATTATTATAATTACTATTTTCTTGTTTTTTTTCTTCCTTGTGTTGTAATGATATCTTTCTTCTTCTGTAGTGTAATAATTCATCACCACTATATCACACTTTTTGTAAAGAAAATCACTTATTTGTGTATTTTTCTATGTAAATTATTTATTTAATTTATGTATGGGAAATGTGCAATTTTCCTTTAATATGCTCTATGCTCTATATTATTTTATTCTTAGCATATAAAATCATTTTAAAGTTTTAAGATACATATTTTTGGATGATACATATTTAAAAAGTAGTATGTATATAGCAAAGTAACATTTGGCACTTCTTTAAGATTTAACTTCATAGTTATATTTTACAATATTTTAGTGAATAAATAAATTGTACATTATGAACGTAGCTCTTTACAAGTATTTTCCACTTTATTCAGATCTGAATTTTCTTAGATAAATCTGTCTCTTCTGTGATAGGATTACTGTCAAAGTATTGAATCTTTGAATACAAAGTTTACAAATTCTGTTTTAATGTATATGTTTAATCTTAAGATCACGAAACATTAAAGGGATTCTATAGTGTAAGGAATGCAAAGTTGTATTCCTTACACTATAGTTCCATCACGAACATCCCTCTTCCCCATGAAGCGGCAAAAAACCCTTGTAATACTTATCGGATTCCAGCACTGATCTCCCACTGATCTCCCTCGGCACTGGGTCAGCACTCCGCCTCCTCCGACATAACCTGACAGGGAGGAGGAGGGGTGCTAGAACTCATTAGGCACTCACCATATGAAAGCATTGCTTCAACGACATTACGATGTCCAGCGTCAGTTAAGTTACCAAAAGTTGCATAGCCACCAGGAAGTGCCTCTAGTGACTGTCTATTTGACTAGAAGCATTCCTAGTCCTGCAATGTAATCATTGCAGTATCTCAAAGACTAAGTGTGACAGGGGCATAGCACCCAGACCACTAAAATGAGTCCATCCTCATGTGGCATTTACTGAACTCTTGTGGCTTTAAAAGGATATGAAAACCTTGAAGAAAACATCATGTAAAAATGTTTAGCACGTGATCCCAAGTCATCACACCACTATGTCCATCATCCACCTGTCAAAAAAACAAGCAGTAAAAAGGAAGCTGGGACTTATGTAGCTGGAACTTACAATTAGCTTTGACTGAGAGGTGAGGACAATATGTATGTAACAATTTTTAAGCTTATTTTGTGTGGCGAGTGCATTAGACTTTGGATGTCCTCATGTAGAGCTTGCAGAGCATGAGGACAGGCAGCATCAGTTAGACTGTAGGTTTCATGTATATAACTCTATATGTATTCTTTGTTTTAATTTTTTTGTATGTTTAATAAATGAAACTATTTTAACCCCATCAGGATGTTTCAAGCTATTTTCCACAGACTTGGCTTTGATGAGATTAGGATTGCTTGGAACATCCTAACGTTAGGAAGTAGAGTTAAATCTGCTTATGTCTGTAGAGGGGATTCCTCTGTGTTAAGGTTAGGATTAAGAGTAGAGATAGGGGCAGGGTTAGGTGTAGATGTAGGGGTAGCGTAGTTTTAGGATTAATGCTGTTTGAAGATTAGTTATGGTGAAGTATTAAAGTTAGGGTAAGATTCGCTAGGATTTAGGTAGGGTTGGTGTATGGTCGGGGGTGTTGTTATAGGGTTAACTCAACTAGCAAAAATGCATTTCAATCCTAAATAAATGAAAAAAGGAATACAACAACCTAAATTCAATTTCTTCAAGTACACTTGATATGTACAAAGTATAAGTTTAACCCCTTAAGGACACATGACATGTGTGACATGTCATGATTCCCTTTTATTCCAGAAGTTTGGTCCTTAAGGGGTTAAAATAAAGTTTTAGCCTTTTAGCCATACCTTATGTTGTGTTATGTATATTTTAGGGATATTAAAAGAAAGACCTTTCTGTCCTTAAAATAGCAACATATATAATATTTATGGGTGCACTTAAAGTTAAACCCTTCACTTATAGTGGAACAAACACGTTGCATACATTCTAGGTTTTGTAGTGATTCATACGTTGGATAATTGCCTTCATCCTTAAGAGGTTAATCTAGAATTCTGTAATATAGACATTCTATTAATATAATATAATTAAGTTAATATAGAATTATATTTTATATAATTCTAAAGAAACAAATAATATAACATAGTTGCTATGATTTAATTGCACTATTCATAATGTCATGAATTTGCTCTAGGTGGGGTTACCGGTGGTCCGCTACAGTGTGTAATATAAGTTAGTAGCTCCAATATAGGGTTATTAATAATAATGCATATTGTATGTGTTAAACCACAGACAGAGATTACCGTATATACTCGAGTATAAGCCGACCCGAATATAAGCCGAGGCCCCTAATTTTACCCCCAAAAACTGGGAAAACTTATTGACTCGAGTATAAGACTAGGGTGGGAAATGCAGCAGCTACTGGTAAATTTCTAAATAAAATTAGATCCTAAAAAAATTATATTAATTGAATATTTATTTACAGTGTGTGTATATGATGAATGCAGTGTGTGTGTGTATGAGTGCGCAGTGTGTGTATAAATGCAGTGTGTGTGTATGAGTGCAGTGTGTGTGTATGAATGCAGTGTGTGTGTATGAATGCAGTGTGTGTGTGTGATGCAGTGTGTGTGTGTGTGATGCAGTGTGTGTGTGTGTGATGCAGTGTGTGTGTGTTGCAGAGCCTTGGTGGGGGGTGGGCATTTTTATAAAAAATAAATAAAAAAAATTGATATTATTATTTATTATTTTCATTTTTTTGGTTATATTATTTTTTAATTTTTTTATTATTTATATATTAATTAATATTATTTTAATTTTTTTTGTTATATTATTTTTTTATTTTTATATGTATATATTATTATTTTATTTATTTTTTGTCCCCCTCCCTGCTTGATGCATAGCAGGGAGGGGGGCTCTCCTTCCCTGGTGGTTCAGTGGCATTGGCAGTTCAGTGGGGGGAGGAGGTGGGCGGGCAGGAAGCACTTACCTCTCCTGCAGCTCCTGTCAGCTCTCTCCTCCTCCGCGCCGGTCCGTGCAGCTCTTCTCTCAGCTCACACTGTAAGTCTCGCGAGAGCCGCACTATGACCCCGCGGCTCTCGCGAGACTTACACTGGGTGCTGACCAGACCGGCGCGGAGGAGCAGGGAGCTGACGAGCTGCAGGAGAGGTAAGCGCTCGCTGCCAGCCCCCAGTCTGTATTATGGCAATGTAAATTGCCATAATACAGACACTGACTCGAGTATAAGCCGAGTTGGGGTTTTTCAGCACAAAAAATGTGCTGAAAAACTCGGCTTATACTCGAGTATATACGGTACTTTTAAATGCTATGTCTTATAATATGCATATGATTGTACTGTTCAGTTTTATAAAGGAGGACTTCTACCAAATCTAAAATACATTCAATTATTTTCAAATGGTCAAAAATAAAAGGACTTTATGAGTAAATGCCTGTACCATATAACACGATGCAAGACAAGAATAGTTGATGAGCTTGCTGAGATTCCAAAAGTTGTTTTAAATAAATTTGAAGTCAAATATATCCTTTCCACCTGAAATCACAATTCCTAAAGCCACTCATACTATTTCATCAAATCAATAACATGTTTATACTCATATTTCTATGTAGGTATCATTCTAAACTTTCCAATAGCTTTTAAAATGTCTGATATACAGTTAATGCTAAAAAGCACATATTTTGGCTGGCACATACAACAAATTCACTCTCTTATAAAACCCTTTTTTAAGATGTGTTTATATTTCATCTCTCCATATCATAATATAGTACATGAAAGAATTAATTATCTTGTTTTGACGATAATGTTTCATTATAACCTGTGAGATACGTGACATTTTATGAAACGGTTTCTGGTGCAGCAAAAATCACTTAGAGAAATATTGCATTTCTCGTAATGGATATATCTAACATTTAATTGTTAGATGATATGTCCATGTAAGAATCTAACAGCAACATATATAAAGCGAAACTGGTGAAATGTTATAGCTTTATTCATCATCCAATACATGTAAATTTGATTAATTGCCTTCTACAACAAAACACCTTTTGATAATCAGAGGTTGTTCTAATGGATATAGAACAGCAGGATATTTATTGTAGAAGCACAAGATGATACCCTACATAGTCACAAACTCATGATTTAGTAAGTTGTCAAGTAGCAAATTAATTTGAAAACCTGTGATGCTTGTCTTTAGAAAATGCTTAATATGTAATGAAAGGTTGTCATATCTAGTCTCACCTTTTGTAATGGGAATTCAAATGATTAAAGAACTTGTTATGTATTATTATCACATTCTTACCTGAGTAAATCTCAGCCCTTATCTCCCAATGGAAAATATACATACATCTATATATTCATCATTGCACCTGATATGCATTGCATATTAGTGTGATTTACCAGTATCTTATAGGTACTAGTGATAGTAAAAATAAATAACAATACTTATTATTAATTCTGAAAAATATATATATAGTTTGGTCTCTTAAAAACTAATAACCTTTCCAATTAAGCAGAAAAGATCATTACCTCCCCTCCCCCCTTACACACACACACACACACACACAAAAAGCATTTATAGGAAACTTTAAGCAAAAATCAGATACGCATAATGTACATAGTTTTTTTTAGCATATGAGTAATTAATTTTTTAATATTAATTTTAGAGCTTATGTTTTGACTGATGCTACATTTCAATATCTCAAAGACTACATGGACAGACAGATGAAAGGGATAGACAGATAAACAGATGGATGGGTTTTCCTAGAATACACATAAATCCCACGTTAAGTACTGGTGAGCTCTCCAGACCTAGTTATTTGTAGCACAGAAGTTAATATTATGATCTTAGCAGGAAGTTAAGCTAAATTCACATTATCTGAAGATAAAATAGTCTTATTTTTTTTTTTACCACCTAACTCTTTCACCACAATGTTTCTGCTCTGATGGTAAATTATGAATCATTCAAAAATCAAGTAGTGCATCTTGGAAAGTATCTATTTTAAGTCAATACATTTTGACAAAACTCAAAGTGCACAATCTTGAAATGGATAAATGCTTGCTCATAGTTATTTTCAATTAGCAAATCTATATTAGAGCATATATTAATGAAAAGCTATTTTAATGTAACCTGCAAGCAACATTTAGTGGAAAATGAGCTTTCAGTGCTGAAACACATTCAAAACTTTAAGGGAGCTGTGTGTGGGAGGTAGTGACTTTTAGTGAACTTTTACAAATTCTGTGATAAATGTTACATGTCCAGTTAGTGCATTTGACTCTATAAAATGCTATGAAAACATGCCTGCAGCGTTTTCATTTTAAGAGATTGTCTCAAAACTACTAAATAATTGAAGAAAGTGTTGTTACTTTTGTTGTTGGCAAAGCTGATAAATAGCAGCCAGGCAACTGGAATACAGAAAAAATATATAAGTCAAACAGCTCCTAAGGACAAGGGCAAATGTATTTAATGCAAAATTTAAAAAACTACCCCGATGACCAAGTCCCGCTGCCTGCGTTTATGCAACAAGATGGCGCCGTTTTCTTCAGCATGTGGCGTTCAGTTATACGAACGGCGGCCACACAGAGAGAGCACTTAATACTGTGTTTTTTTGTAGTTAATGAGCCAGGAGGTGGTCGATGTTCAGTAAATTTATCTACTGAATGCAGGGGAAAATATGAATGAAGTTCAGAAACCTGTTAGTGACTTTAAGAGGAGGACATCTCCTATGCAGACAAAATAGTGGATTTTGTCACACTACCCTCCACTCTTGTACTTTTGTGGTTATAACCCTAGTTTGGCGGTGCTATTTTAATGAGTTATAGAGATTGCATATCTGATAAATCACAAAACTTTCCTAAACAAAATTATTGTAGAGACAAATATCAATGGACGTCAGATATTATATCTCAATAATACATATTAAAATTACTGCTTTTTAATGAAAGTTTAACATTGTATTGCAATCTGTAAAATGTAAACTGCACATAGTAACATAGTAATTTAAATTGCGAACATGAATTAAGTCCATAATAGGTCAAGTAACCCTATTACCAATGTTAAACTCAAGTATGGAGAATAAAATAAATGGTATACAGCAATATATTTACTTGTTTTTAGCATGCAGACTAAAAAGGCAATGCTAAGCACCATTTAAACTTTGCGTTGTTTCCCAAAATTTCCAATAACTGCAGAGATTTGCAAAAATTGCTACAGCAATAAGCCCATTGGATCGCGAGTTTAAATTTCTCCTTTGCCATCCAATATCTGTGCATATTATGCATGGGACACATGCACACACAACTTGGAATCTTGCTTTCTCTTTCCAGCTCTGTAGAAATGCAAATTTACAGACATGCAGCCATGGTCACAAAACTGTGAAACAAAGAGGCTGTATACTGTTGCCATCATCTAATATACACAGCCCAGTTAACAAAATCAGCTTACTATAGCAATTTATTCTATACACCTGGGGTCAGCAACTCATGACATATGTGCCATGCATAACACACATGAGCCTTTACATGGAATGAGAGGCTATAGTACCCAAACATGGGGCAAAATGAGGATCTTCCTCAGAGTTGGTTTAACAGAGATCCCAGTAGCACTTCTTCAAATATCTGATAGTGCCTGACTGCAGCAGAACATGATGGAAAGTCTTCAATTAACTCATTGCAGCGCTTGGAGGACCTGATCTCAGATCACATGTGAAGGACAAATCATATGGGAGGAGAGCAGCACTTCTCCCAAAGTACATGCCCTATCCCTAGACAGCCAGTTCCCCTCTGGAGCCTAGGTAAGTCTCCTCCCTGCCCCTAAATGGCAAAAAAAGAAGGCTGGCTAAAAATAATAACATGTCAGGGTTGGCTAGAGGATCCTCAGCAAGATGAGACATAGTAACCTAACAAAGGCAAAGATAGAGGTAAAGCAAGAGGTATATTACTGGACCTTAGCATGGCTGGGTTTAACATAAAGCATGAACTAGGAGGTAACAGGACTTACCTAAGAAATGACTACAGGCCAAAAGAGATTAAAAAAAACATGTTTCCAAAACCTGGTCAATCATTTAGTAACAAGCCAGAGACTAGTACACAGATCGGGTAGTAAGACAAGCCAGGACTAGAACACAAAATCAGGAAGAAGTCAAATAGGCCAGGTCAGGAACACAAGGGCAGGAGAGCAGAATGCAGTTTGTAGGCTTTGTGTATGTATAGTGGTGGTGTATGCTTAGTATTGTATTTGAGTCTAGCAGTGTATGTGGCAACAACTCTGTGCCCTGGCAGTATACACGGAAGGAGTGCCACAAATACCCAAATACTACAAATTTCTCAACTACATATACAGCACACATATCCACAAGTACACCCATACAAAGAAGATGCAACACCCATATATAACGCAAGCAGCATACAGAAACATGTAGGTATGTTAATTAAAATTAAAAAAAACAAAAAATAGGACCAACACTCCAAGGTGCTTGTTTTGGCACAGTTCTGCTAAAAAGTAGCCTATACATTCTATCCCTGCTATAGAATTAGTAAAATTATTACTTTTATTCATAACCTAAGCAAAATGTGCAGGTTGTTATGGTGCTTAGAGTGACCTTTCAATTGTTGACTCACATCAAAAAAATAAGATAGGAACAGGTGATACTGCAGTATGTCAGGTAAATTTTTAAACAATTTGTAGCCCAATAAAATGCTAACTCACACTTTCTTGAGCTGCTAAGAGCTCTGCTGTTTAGTACATGGACAGTACAATCCCCGTCTCAGGATATGTAGAAGTTTCTAGTACTGGTCATGCAATTCTCAGTGGTTGGATATATAGGAGAAGTAGAGAAGAAAAAAAGAAGAACCAATGGCACAGTATTTTGTAAATAATATGAAGTATAGAGAAGGTATTGCTCTTACAGTTTTAAGAGCAATAACTTAAGGTGTGCTTAAGGTGGTACAATCCCTGCCTGGGATGTGCAGAAAGCAAAAGCAGTAGAGCAGCAGCAGGATTTCAACTGAATAATAAAATAAAGGTAATTTTGGCAATTAACTTTATTAATAAAAAAAACAAATCTGGAATTAAAACAAACTTGTAATAAAGTGGCAAAGTGCCCCACTCCTCACTTAACACGTTTCGCCCTGGTTTGGACTTCTTCATAAAACCATACATCAGTGGACCTCATATAGTGTATGTATTTACATGAATGTGTTGAATATACTTTTCCCTTTTGGCACAATGAATTATAAATACCTGTAAATAGGGTAATATATTAAACATATAATAAAAAACATGAACTACTCGGTTCACAACAGCAACCAAATCATAACAAACATAAATGCGTTAAATGACTTTCAGTTATAATCACTAAAGTGAAGATTTAAAGTGAACTCAAAGAGAATTTTAAACGTAAGGCTAAAGTAGCTGAACTGGAAACATCCGTGATTTAGAGAATGTTTCTATTTCAGCTACTTTTACCGTAAATTTATAATTCACTTGGAATTTTAACTTTAGTGAATAACCCTGTTAATATACCATATTTTTTAAAAAGGAGAACAATACTAAGCTATGTTATGTAACATCTTAAAGCTGGTTTTATTCTTAAGGTATATTCAATTTTTAATTTCTGCTGTATTACCTGGTTATCGTGGTATGAGAGAGAAAGAAGGGGAGATAGCTTAGAGTTGTAGGATATTTGTAATACTGCAACCATAAGAGCTACAGCTTATGTTTATTTTGTTAGCTGAAACCCAGAGTTAGGACAAATCACCTAATATTGCACTCCAGCTCCTTTTCTCTTCCAATCTCATTAAAATTTAACCATGCAGAACCTCTGCATTCTTTTTTATGTTTGCAGCCACTGTGCTGAATTTTGGAATTGAGTTTTTAGAATTGGAATTGCCACATTTGATTCCAAATGATTAATAAACACCTGTGTGATTTACTGTTTGAAGGACAAAGTGCACAATTAAATTATAGAATTGTAATATTTCATTTTAGCATTCACAGAGGGAAAGCAATTTTTCTTCTTTGGCAAAAACTAAAACTGATCTGATACAATGTTTAGAATATTAAGCTAATTTTTACCAAAGTATTCATTTATGCAATCCACTTAAAATTATTATTGTCAGAAGTGTCAATACTGAATAAGTTTTATATTTCTATCAGTATTAAAACAACAATATCATAATAGCAACAGTCCCAAATTGTTTTGGACAGACACGCATTTTGCTGTTCTGTCCCAGCAAAAATAGATCATGGGGATCTATCACAGTTTGAAAACTGCCAGCAGATTTATAAAAGCATGACCGTGAATTTTAACACTGCTCTTTGCATGGTCTGCCTTAAGGGGGTAGGCTCTCAGTTAGCCAACCTCTTTAGGGGGGAGTCCTCTTTAATGGGAGGACCTGCTACTAACACAGTGCCCTATGCAACCTGCTCTCCTCACTGTCCACCTCTATTCCAGAAGGTAGGCAGCGAACACTGGTAGATATGCTGTATGTATATTTATTCTTATGTTTTATTCAGCCTAGAGTATAATGAACACCTTCCTTACATTAGGGCATGATGTGCCATCCTACAAAAGGAGTGCTTTAATGCAGTTATGGTGACACAGCACTCCCTAACAATCTGGCTTTCACTCTAGCCCTAATACTTACCTTAGATTGAAACTCAAAACAAAACTCTATAACCACCTACGGTTCAGTGAAAATAATAAAAAAGTGAAATAGTCATTACCCTTCCACATTAGAAATGTAGATATAGCAAAAGATTACTCTATATCCTCAAAACACTTAAAACAAACTGGAATATATCTACAAAAAACATGACACAGAATACAGTTCATAGGGGGCGTGGCCTGACTCTACATGTGAACGGTCGCATCTCTGCGAAGCTCTCGTTCCTCCGGGTTTATCTTAGCTGCCAAGCGACAGAATAAAGCAAGATGGGCAACAAGAAGAAACAACTGACCTCCCAAGAGACCCCGGGTCCCGGTACCGGCAAGAAAAGCGGGGATCTCGACAGATTTTTCCGAGACAAAGTGAGAGCGCTGGCAGAGGCTGACACAGAGGATCCGCCATCTTCGCCACGTGTCTCCCCGCCGGAGAGCCCAGCAAGCTCCGATTCTCTCTACCCACCTGGGAATGCGACACTGCAGGAGATGCTGCAAAACCTACCCTCAAAACAGGACATGGCCTCCATGCTGGCAAAGCTTGAGGCATCCATGCAGGAACGATTGTCCTCCATCACAACAGAGGTACGCCAGATAGGGCTCCGGGTGGGAGGCCTAGAGGGGGACAGAGACAACATGCAACTCAGGCTGCACAATATGGAACAGAGGCAGGATGCCCATGAATCCAAACTAGTACAGATTTTACGCCACACAGAGGACCTCGACAACCGAGGCAGGAGGAATAACCTCCGGGTCAGAGGGGTACCAGAGGCACAAGGGGAACTGGAAAATACCAAGGACGTTCTCCAGGCCCTCTTCAATAACATACTGAAGCGTGCCCCGGACACCCCGATATTAATGGACAGGGCGCATAGGGCGGCAAGACCCAGGGGTCTACCACAAGAGACTCCCAGGGACATAATATGTAGAATCCACTACTATACACTAAAAGAGGACATACTAAAGCAGGCGAGGAATTCACCGGCCTTAACTATGTTTGCTACACAGATCCAGATATTACCAGACTTGGCGTGGCAAACGCTCCAGGGGAGGAGGGCCCTGAGGCCTCTCATCCAAGCCTTGCAAGCCAAAGAAATCTGCTACCGCTGGGGCTACCCCTTTGCTCTGATCGCCTCGCATCAAGGAGTACAACATAGCATCGCAACGATACAAGATCTACCAGATTTTTTAAAGGCGTTTGACCTACCACACATGGAGATCCAGGACTGGTATGACCCCGGGTCCCAAGCAGCCATACAAGCGCAACCGCAAAGAGCCCGGTGGAGAAATGCAGCGGAGAGGAAACGGACACCTGGGAAACGGCTTCCCTTCACGCCAACTTCAAGATCAAGGGCAGCGGGACGAGACACTGGAATTGGACTCTCTACACCCTGAAATTATGAACTACAACTCACCCACCCACCTAACCACCCACCACAAGAGAGACTTGTTTCACCTCAGTGACCTTTTAAGTCCCCGGGTGTGGTGTCCCTGGTTCAGGACAGAGACTCACTACAACTGGATGCTACTCCTAACGGAACGACGATGACTGGCGTTGCTACCTTAAGACGCAAGTATTGTAAACTACACCAGCTGATGTAAAGTGGGACATAGGCACACATAGTCTACCACACATTAACACCGGGAGACGGTTATGGGACTGAGGCTCTCAGATAAGGGGGGAGTCAGGACCAACTAGCGGGACGAGCTATTTTATATCTATCTCAAAAAGGGAAAAAAAAAAAATATATATATATATATATATATATATGTCTATAGATATTAAATATTGGCTATTATTAATCTTAACCACATTGATTTAGATTCAAAGTTTGGTCCGGCCAAGCGAGGCCCCTCCGGGACACGCCTCCGCACTAAGGGTGGTTGTTACGCCCGATAGGGGTAAAGGGGAGAAAGCATTTACACCTCTCAATAGTATAGCACATTGGACGTAATGATCTCTCGCTGTACATACTATGCGCACTGCTCACTCAGGCTGTTTTGCCGAAAAAAAAATAAAAAAATAAAATAAAAAAAATATTAAAAAAATAAAACGAAACGAGAAAAAAAAAATAAACACCCCAACCAGTACATAGCGGTGCTCAAAAGCCATGTTTTGCAAGGATAATCAAAAGAAACCCATGTACTCCATTTACGGCGCTTGGCGGCGCTATAACATAAGCGTAATTGTGAACGGTCGCAGAGACCAGAAATACAGACTGACACACCACCGGAAAACAAATACGACTGAAAGCCACATTTCATTCTAGGATTACGCTAAACGATATACACAACACCCCAAGTAACCGAATAAGGTTACGAGCGGTGCACTGACATCTTTCACTCTGACAGACATCATTTCCCGATTCGGCGATTAAGGCCGACGGTGACTGACACTAAGCACCGACTCCTGCATAGTTAGTTAAATACTAACGGATATACGTGGCCCCTAGATCTAGGAGTCACATTTTTACAAGTTCGCTGTTAAAAAGTTTTCTTACATCTAAGTTTAGATATTTTGTTGCTTCTATACCTTATATCGCACACACCGCCGGGCATATACGCCCCACAACGACACGACTTTACCATGGACACAAGAGGTACCGCCATAGCAACGGTCAATAAACACGTACCTACCATAGATACTATAAAAATACTCTCATACAATGTCAGGGGACTAAATTCTCCTGAAAAGAGGAATATGGCACTGAGGGACTTTCAAAGAATAAAAGCCGATGTTTTTTTCGTGCAGGAGACGCACTTTAAAGGACCCACGGCACCAAAACTCACCAATAGACACTACCCCCACGCGTATTACAACAATTTCACACATAGCAAATCCCGCGGGGTTGCCATTCTGATAAGGGCCAAGATACCATTTGTGTACAGCCAGCATTTCGCGGATGATTCAGGCCGCTATGTTATACTACAGGGACAGATTAGCAACTACCCGGTGACCCTGGTCAATCTATACCTTCCAAACACACGACAATGTCACACCCTCCGTAAAATCTTAAACAAGGTTCAACAACTTACAACAGGGACCTTAATTATAGGGGGAGACTTCAACGTATCTCTAGATGCTCAAAAAGATAGCACGGCGCGACACCCTAACCATCTCCAACCGACCAGAACGCAAATTAAACGACTACTGCACGGCCATCAATTAGTGGACTGCTGGAGGGCACTCCATCCCACCACGAAAGACTACACATTTTACTCCAGACCAGCCTCCACATACACTAGAATAGATTATTTCATCACCACACACAGAGACCTTTCACTCGTAACCTCGGCAACAATCGGCAACATCACCTGGTCCGATCATGCCCCGGTTCAGATACAGCTCAAAATTCCTACCCTAGCTCAGGGCACAGGCCAGTGGAAACTAAACACCACCATATTGCATGACGAAACGGCTAAAAAAGCTATTGCCGAAACTATCTCCCAATATTTCCTAGACAATAACATACAAGACACAACCCCTTTCCTCCAGTGGGAAGCACATAAGTGTGTAGTGAGGGGGGAACTAATAAAATGGGGCTCCTTTCTTAAAAAAATGAGAATTAAGAGACAGACAGAGCTATTGACAGACATAAAAAACTTAGAAGAGGCGCATAAGGAAACCATGTCTGAATCCGATCATCGCAAACTTCTGTCCCTTAGGTCCGAACTAACAATTCTGCTACAATCAAAGGCTAAAAAATCACTGGTATGGACTAAACAGTTATTTTATGCCCAAGGGAATAGGTGCGGCAAACTCCTAGCAAACGCACTAAAGCATAGGCAGGAGAGAACGTACATCCCCCAGATTAAAACAGCAAACAACAACATTGTACAATCAAACAGTGAGATAGCAAAAACATTTAGGGAGTTTTACCACTCACTCTACAATCTAACGAGTACATCACAGGACAAGGATAGGATCAAGGCATACCTAAGCGATAAATTCGACAAAATACTACCCCAAACACTGGCCAGATCCCTAGATGAGCCCTTCACTCTCACCGAGCTCATGAACGCGATTAAAACCACCCCATCGGGCAAAAGCCCAGGTCCAGATGGCTACTCGGCTACGTACTATAAGACGTATCTGAAAGAACTAGGCCCACACCTACTGGAAGCGATTAACTCCATAAGCCCTGACAAACCCCTCCCTAAACCGAGTCTGGAGGCCAATATTACTCTTATTCACAAGAACGGGAAGAACCCTGATTTATGCGGCAGTTACAGACCAATCTCGCTGATTAATGTAGATATCAAAATCTTTACTAAAATGTTGGCATTACGATTGAAACCTATGCTCCCAACCCTGATTCACCCCGACCAGGCGGGATTTGTCCCCTCTAGGGAAGCCAAAGACAACACCACGAAGATCATTGCCCTGATACACGAAGCTCTCAGCAATAAAGCCCCTTCCATCATGTTAGCTATCGACGCGGAAAAAGCGTTCGACAGGGTGGATTGGAGTTTTCTGTTGTCGACGCTGGAAACACTAGGCTTTGGGAAAAGGTGGATGCAGTGGGTCCAGGCAATCTACTTTCACCCCTCGGCACGGCTTAAAATTAATGGGATACTGTCCGATCCGTTCCAAATAACGAACGGCACGAGACAGGGTTGCCCCCTGTCTCCGTTGCTTTTTATCTTGGGATTGGAACCTTTGCTAAACGCGGTACGGAACAGGCCGGGTGTAGAGGGAATAAGGGTGGGTGCACACCAGTACAAAGTATCGGCATTTGCAGATGACTTACTTTTTACACTCACTAACCCCCTAGAATCCCTTCCCACACTGATGGACCTCTTAGACGAATACAGTGCCCTATCCAACTTCAAAATCAATGTTGACAAATGTGAAATACTGAACCTCACAGTACCAGACAAGGACAAGACACGACTACAAACGCGATATGCATTTCAATGGGCAACAAAGTCCATCAAATACTTAGGAGTCAATATAACTCCACGCACTAAGCTATTATATGGTGCTAACTTCCCACAAATCTTAGGAGCTATTAGTGCGGACCTGGAAGCATGGAATAAACCACACTTCCGATGGTTTGGGAGGATAAATATTTTAAAAATGAATGTACTCCCCAGACTACTATATCTATTAAACACTCTCCCAATCGCCATTCCAAGAACCTTTTTTAAGAAAATTCAGGCATTATTTACACAGTTCATATGGGCCAAAAGACGTCCAAGAATAAGGTACAACATACTCACGAGACCTAAGGAGTTAGGGGGGGTGGGCCTGCCGGACATCTGGCTATACTACCAGGCGATACATGTAGGCCGAATCATGGACTGGACATACCAAAACGCCTCCAAAGAGTGGGTCACAATAGAACAAGTTCAGATAGGCGACTCATTGAAGGCAATTCCATGGCTGCTGACCTCGGGTAACGACTGGACGACACTAGCACACCCGACGATAACACCAACCCTACAAATATGGAAAAAAGTACGCAGCTACCCAGACATTGCCCCAACACCATCTCCGAAATACCCTATAACGAACAACCCCCTTTTCATAGCAGGGAAAAGGGGCTTCCAATTGAAACCAATGAGAGACGACCAACGGAAGGCACATCTGACACTAGACGAGGTAGTGAGAGAGGGGGGAGTGACGCCAATCACACTATTGACAGAAGGGAAAGACCCATCCCTTATGCAGAGATTTCAGTACGCACAAATGCGACATTTCTTGACTGCACAGGGCTTATCACATTGGACTCCAAGGGACAGGACCAAATTTGAACTACTATGCTCGGGAGAAAAAACGCCTCACAAGCCAATCTCCCTCTGCTATAAACTGTTACAAACCCAGACGAGTACTCAATTACCGTACTTTACCAGATTATGGAGGGACCACTTAGGCAAAGATTTAGAAGCAGGAGACTGGAAGAATATCTTCCAAACGATCTTCCACGCACACTCTAGCATACCACTACAGGAGATTAACTATAAATTCATCTCCAAGTGGTATACCACCCCGGTGGATGTTCACAGATTCGACTCCAACTCATCACCAATGTGCTGGAGATGCAACTCAGATAAGGGCACCTTCCAGCACATATGGTGGACATGTGAGGAGCTATCGGGCTTCTGGAAAGAAGTCTGGACCACGGTCAATCTGATAACAGACACGCCCATACCCTACAACCTAGAGGCACTCCTACTACTCCACTTCGAAATACCACACCGTAAATTCAAACATTCCCTCGTTTACTTTATGCTGACAGCGGCAAAAAGCTCGATAGTGAACCACTGGAAATCGACGATCCCGCCCTCTAAAACAGACTGGTTTCAAAGAATAGAACATTTTCATGAGATGGAGGAACTAAGATGGGGATCGTTAGACAAATATCACAGATACAAAGACATATGGCAACCCTGGAAAGAATTGCTAAGGGGTAGACAGGCCGACTAAACTAACTAACCACCGTATCTGCCTAAGAGGGGGGGAAGCTAACCAGGAAAGGGAGAAGGAACAGGGTCAGGGGGTGGGACAGAGGGTGCGTGGGAGGTCCTCTTCTCCGCCTATGGCACAACAATCTAACTACCTGGGTATAAAAGGCTGAACCACAGCGATACCCAGAACGACATACCACAACTCTTGGACGCATGCTATACCGCACACACACACACATAGGAATCAATGACCAAGGCGGCAGGTTTACCGTGACAGATATGAAACCAATGTGTATCCTAGGCCAAATACAATTGTTACTGAGAATGTTATACTTGTATTCAGTGCTGCGATGTTGCGATATTTTATTTCTTCTTCTTCTTCTTTCTTTCTTTTTCCTTATAACACTACGTTTTGTGTTACTACAATGTTATAATACAAGGTCTTACCGTACTCCGGAAACATGGAGACATGCACTCAAAAAATCCAATAAAAATAAAATATATAAAAAAAAAAAAAAGAATACAGTTCATAGGGTAAGAAAGAATAGACACCTAAAATATGAAAATTTTAAGGTCACACTCACAAAATTCATATGAATTCATGCCCATCAATATGAAGTTGATTTCATACCAGATATTCATAGGCACATGTTAAATGAAATAGGTAGCCGGAGTGTTTTTCATCCCAAACGGCATGACCTTAAAGTGGTACAGTCCGAATGGGGTGACAAAGGCTGACTTAGGGATGGTGTCCGGGGCCAAGGGAATCTGCCAATACCCCAGATCAATAATAGTGAGATATTGGCCTCTGGCCATCCGGTCTAGCAGTTCGTCTATCCTGGGCATTGGATAGGCGTCAGACACTGTTTTCTCGTTCAACCTCCGGTAGTCCACGCAGAAGCGGGTCGTACTGTCCCGCTTAGGTACGAGGACTACTGGGGAGGCTCAGGGGCTGTCCAATGGCTCAATCACCCCCAGTTGGAGCATGGTATGATGGGGTACCATCTGCGCACCGGTCTCCCTCCCAATGTTCTCTAATAAGGTCAAGGGGCCCTCTTACTCTCCTCCCAAATAACAATTCGAATAGGGAAAACCCGGTCGACTCCTGCGGCACCTCCCGGTAAGCGAAGAGGAGGTGGGGCAGGAATCGCTCCCGGTCACTGTGGGTCTTGGCGAAGGTTCGGAGCATTTGTTTCAATGTACCATTGAACCGTTCGCAGAGCAAATTGGTCTGGGGATTGTAGGGGGCACTGATGATAGGCTTAATGTCACAGAATTTCCAGAGGTGCTGGGTGAACTCCGTGGTAAATTGAGTACCCTGATCCAAGATGATCTCCCTGGGTAACCCCATCCGGGAGAAAATCTGCATGAGGGCATCGGCCACCGGATATTGGTTAGTGCCATCGCCTCTGGATATCTAGTGGCATAGTCTACGACAGTTAAAATATATTTCTTGCCAGGAGGACTAGGTTTCCAAAGGGGGCCTATTAAATCTACCGTTATTCTCCTAAATGGCTCTTCAATTATTGACTGACTCTCAAATGTCTGGATAGCGGGATATCATGCGCTATCCAGAGCAACTCCGCTCGGTACCGCTGTGGTACCACTAGCTGCCTCATAACAATCGGGTCTGACCAGGCTACCTGTTTGTCTGACTCCCTGTATAAGAGCTGCTTATCCCGTATTAATCTCCCCCCTGGGTTGGTCAGATGCGACCTTGTCCCTATATATTTGTAAGGTAGGGTCAGTGATCACCTCATTAATTCTGCAAATTTTTGCATATTCGTTAGGGGGGGGCCCAGAGGACACAGTCTAAGGAAGGGGAAGGATCTCTTACCTGAACCTCCGGTAGTGTGTTATGGTCCTGGGTGCGGGCCTGTTGGATGAGCTTCTCCAGTGGTTGGGGCCTGGGGCTCAAAAGCAGAAGTGAGCTTTCCCAGATCATTCCCCAGCAAAACCTCAGCTGGCAATTGCGGCATCAACCCCAATTCCACATTTCATGACCCCGCTCCCCAATGTAAATGAACCCTTGCTGTAGGTAGCCAGTATACTGCTCCCCTGGCTACCCTGCCGGCTACAGTCCTGCTGGTCTTGGCTTTGTCAGATACTAGGTGGCTTTTGACCAGGGTTATGGTGGCTCCTGAGTCGCGGAGCCCTCCAGGTAGATGGTTTGTCTGTGATGCTGGCGGTTATCTGCATTTGCCTGTAAGGGGTCTGCTATGTGTAGCACTTCCCAATGTTCCACGGTGGTGAGTGGAACTGCAGAGCCATAGGGGTTGTGGTCTTGTCCTGGTAATAGTGGGATGCTTCTCTCGGTGGTGGTGGTGACCCTGATGGGATCCAGGTGGATCGGTCTTGGAGTTGGGGACAGTCTCGCTTGTAGTGTCCCCACCGGAACCTCTGTTGAGAAGTGGCTGGTGGTGGGGGTGGTAGCTGTTGTGGTGGTGCTGTTGTGCTGGTGGGGTAGCTGGTTTCCCCCAGGGGTCGTACTGTGGGCTTGCTGACCATAAGTTTGTGCTGCCTGCGGGCATCCAAATAGTCATCGGCTTTCTTAGCCGCCTCTGTGAGGGAGTTGGGATTGCGGTCCCTCACCCATTCCTGGATCTCTGTGGATACCCCATCATAGAACTGCTCCAGCAATAGCATTTGTAGTAAGTCCTCCATGGATTGTGCTTGGTTAGCCTGTATCCATCTGAGGGTCGCCCGGTGCAATCGACAAGCCCATTCGGCGTGCAAGTCTTTTTCGGCTTTCTTCAGTTCCCTGAAGCGCCTCCGATGTGCCTTGGGTGTGATGGCATGCTGACCAGGATAACCTCTTTACCCGGCTATAGTCTCGGATCTCTGTGTCTGGTACAGTGCGGTAAGCTTCGGCGGCTCTCCCTGTTAACCGCCCAGCTAGGATGGGAACCCAATCCTCTGCATTAATTTTGTGCAGAGTGCATAGTCTTTCAAAATCTTGGAGGAAGGCATCTATGTCTTCCTCGGCCTCCACATACATTTTAAAAGCTTGGTAGGGTATCTTTGACTTACCCTCTTGTACCATAGTCATTGCTGGGCTTCTTTCTGGGGTTTGTGGTATCCTTTGTCACATTACAAACTCCTGAACTTCCG